AGATGAGACCAAAATCGAGCTCTTTGGCATCAACTCAACTTGCCGTGTTTGGAGGAGGAGGAATGCTGCCTATGACCCCAAGAACACCATCCCCACCGTCAAACATGGAGGTGGAAACATTATGCTTTGGGGGTGTTTTTCTGCTAAGGGGACAGGACAACTTCACCGCAACAAAGGGACGATGGACGGGGCCATGTACCGTCAAATCTTGGGTGAGAACCTCCTTCCCTCGGCCAAGGCAACAAAGGAGTGGCTCAAGAAGAAGCACATTAAGGTCCTGGAGTGTCCTAGCTAGTCTCCAGACCTTAATCCCATAGAAAACCTGTGGAGGGAGCTGAAGGTTCGAGTTGCCAAACGTCAGCCTCAAAACCTTAATGACTTGGAGAATATCTGCAAAGAGGAGTGGGACAAAATCCCTCCTGAGATGTGTGCAAACCTGGTGGCCAACTACAAGAAACGTCTGACCTCTGTGATTGCCAACAAGGGTTTTGCCACCAAGTACTAAGTCATGTTTTGCAGAGGGGTCAAATACTTATTTCCCTCATTAAAATGCAAATCAATTTATAACATTTTTGACATGCGTTTTTCTGGATTTTGTTGTTGTTATTCTGTCTCTCACTGTTCAAATAAACCTACCATTGAAATTATAGACTGACCATGTCTTTGTCAGTGGGCAAACGTTAAAAAAATCAGCAGGGGATCAAATACTTTTTTTCCCTCACTGTAACTATCATTTTAGCAGCTCAATCAATGCAACAAAAAGGGTATTTCACTACAAGAATCACAAAAATACATTGGTTCCATCTTTAAAAGGAAGTAGAAATCATGCCTTGTTTAGATTCCTCCAAGTGTACACCATGTTCCTAGGGGGACTCATTCTCTCAACCCAGATGGCGAAATGGAAGGAGACAGGCAGTCATCTGAACACCTCCAATATTAGCCTCCACTTTAAAAATAGCCAGTCATCACATGAAATCAATAATGCCACTTAGATGCGACTGAGTGTGTGTTGGCAGGGCAAGTCCCTTCTAGGATTAACACCCCACTTGTGGCCTTGGGGCTCTGTAACCGTAACTGATACTGCTCATGCTTGCTCACATGGGGCTCGAGGAACATCCAAAAGTGGAACAAGGACATTTGAGAAATGAAGTAAAAACTGCCCATTGGAGATAACATAGTATCCCCAAAGTCCTAAAGGAAGCAGCCTGGACAGGTTTATCCAAATTCTAGTCCCCCTATAATCTCTTTAGGCTAGTTCTTGAAATTGATTCCACGAGTAATCAGTGGCAAGGGGAAAACCAATCTATAATAGGTCTTGATTAACATTTTTTACATTTTAGTCATTTAGCAGACACTCTTATCCAGAGCGACTTACAGTTAGTGAGTGCATACATTTTCATACTGGCCCCCCGTGGGAAACGAATCCACAACCCTGGCGTTGCAAACGCCATGCTCTACCAACTGAGCTACAGAGGGCAATGTATAGCAACATATGTATGAAAGATTACATCTTTAAAATGAAAATGTATTTGTGGCATACATAGTCAAGTATATTTCAATAACTGTCTCTACACAGTGAATTGTGTGTAAACCTAAATAGACTTTCCAGCTACAAATAGATGAACACTGCCATCAGGTGGACATGAAGAGACGCAAAGGCTGCCCAAGAAAGGGAGAAGCGCACACACGCAAACACACACGGCTCCTTTAAAAGACTTCTGTCAGAAACCTAGCTTGACAAAGAAGCTTCAGAGAGCAGAGCATCACTACACCAAAAAAATGAAAGTCTTTGCAGTCTAGTTTTTATTCAAGAAATCGTTAACCTTTTGACATTCTTCTCACTTAAATTCTGACCCTGTTGTCCTTCAAAAATGACATTTACATTTTAGTAGACGCTCTTATCCAGATCGACTTACAGTTAGTGAATACTTTTTTTTTTTTTTTTTACATACTGGCCCCCTGTGGGAATCGAACCCACAACCCTGGCGTTGCAAACACCATGCTCTACCAACTGAGCTACATCCCTGCTGGCCATTCCCTCCCCTACCCTGGATGACGCTGGGCCAATTGCGCGCCGCCCCATGGGTCTCCTGGTCGCGGCCGGCTACGACAGAGCCTGGATTCGAACCAGGATCTCTAGTGGCACAGCTAGTAATAAACATACATACATTAAGGCATGGCTACACACTACATTGGCTATATTCCTTATTTGAGCATGCATCTGGATTACAAAGTATCAACCATGTTTACTATATTTTACCTTTTAGCACTTCCCAACATTTGCCTTATAAAATACCTCTATATATTCCCCAACATCTATATATACTTCCAAAGTCCCAACAATTACAAAGATTAACTTTAAAATGAATGTAAGCCTGTGCATTTACTTAGTCTTAGCCTTGCCATATGTGGTTACATTTTATATGCATATATTTAAACCAATATATCTTCCTCATTGTTTGACCCATCCTGATGAGGACCCAGAGCCCAGTCAGGTATTGGATACAAGTCTAAAAGGTTTTCCTCTAAATTAACCTCCAAGTTTTTCTGTTGAGGTTTGTAACCATGGCAGGCCCATCCACCCCCAGGAACAACACCATACAGACATTCAGGATTCCCGAATGGACAGTCCATTGGTCCTCCTTTAACATGACAAGGTTTCCCATATTTATTAACATACTGTCCTGGAGCTCCCTGAACTGGATGTATTTCTTTGTAAACATTGCTCCCCACTTTTGTTTAGTTATAGCATTTCCCATATATGTGTTAGTATCCTAACACATCAGAATATGCAACTTTGTCTTAATAATAATATCTAGAACATGTTAAAAATGGTGTCAACATCTTTAGCTTACATAACCTTTTTCACCCATATCACAAGTATTATAACAATCAAAATAATCAATATCAATATCTAATCCATTAATTGCAATGTCAACATCATTAGTTATTAACTTTTTTTTTTTTTTTAGCATCTAATCCATTAATTGCAATGTCAACATCATTTTTTTTTAGCAATCTAATCTTCACTGGACTGCAAGAGCCTTACTGCCTTTACAGAGAGCTGCAGGGCTAAATTGTAGCCAAACACTGAACTGGCAGTTTTTTATCGTTTTCAAATTAATGGCAACATTAATGATCTTTACTATCATTGGATAAAAAACATATTACACATGTAACAGTCTTGGGAGGATAAAAGAGAGCGAGAGAGAGAGAGGAGAGAGAGAGGAGAGAGAGAGAGAGAGAAGAGAGAAAATTTCAAAAAAAAAAAAAAAAAAAAAAAAAAAAAAAAAAAAAAAAAAAAAAAATGGAGGGAATGAAGATTCAAATTTAAAAACCCCTCCTTTTGAGAAAAACCCAAAGGAATCCAACCTAGGAATAGAAAAATTCGAGGGAAAGGGGAAAAAAACGACAATAAAATTTTCCCCCTTTTACGTTTAAAAAAAATAAACTTTAAAAAACATTAAAGAAAATTAGAAAGGGATAAATAAGAAGCCCAATTTTTGGGGAAACTAAAAAGAAAGAGGGGGGGGGTTTTAAAAGAGCGGGAAAGAGAAGGAAGGGGGGAAACCAAATAAGGAAAAGACACAAGAAAAAAAAAAGGGAAGGCTGGGAGGAAAAAGAGAGGGGGAGAGAGGGGGAGGAAAAGGGGGGAGAGAGAGAGAGAGAGAAGGGGGAGAGAGGGGGAGGAGGAAAGAGAGAGAGAGAGAGAGGAGAGGAGAGAGAGAAAGAGGGGAAAAGGGGAAAACAGGAGGATTCATTGGATAAATGGACTGACATTTTTGAAGGGAATCAATTCAGTTACCCCACTGAAACTTGCACTTGTGTGTAGCCTATGTTATGATGTGTAGACTATTTTATGATATGTGTTGTACTAAACAGTATATTAGAAAACCATTCATGATTGCTTTACATACAACATTTGGTCATTGACATACTGTATGTCATTTGATGGTCTCTGGTGGCCTTTTAAGGCATAGCAGCACAGCACTGCCTCCCCATGCTCTCCCATACAGATGACAAAGATGGTGAATAATGAAGGTGTCGCATAAAGGCTATTTACCTATCTCTTATGCTACATGTGGCGGCGATCTGCTTTTAATAGTGCAGACATAGAGGAGGTGTGAATATAGATGTGTTGCCATGACTCTTGCCCGCTGGCCTGCATGTATTCACTGAGTAGACTCTTGGACTACAACAAGTATGTGTTCTGATTGCCAACAGTAGTAATATGTTGAGTGTGGCACTTGATAATCAACTGTATAATCATTCTCAATGTGGAGTGATTGACCTGTGCTCAGCCACCCTCTCCTTGCAACATGATGCAGGCAGGCAATAGATGAGAAAACAAAGTGCTGCAATAGGGTGAAGGCAGAGGTTGAATATGAGTACAGGCAGAGAGAGAGATGGAGAGAGAAGGAAAGAGAGAGACAGACATACAGATGTAGGATCTTAATTTGAGCCAGTTTGCTACAGCAGGAAAATAATTCTGCAGCAACAGGAAATGTGAATTATGATGTGGATTATAATTAATGGACATTTTTTGTAGGGGTTGATACATTTTCTGTTTGGGCAAATCAAGTCTGACATTTTAAAATGGAAATGACAAACTTTAGAAGCCTTTTGAAATACAATACAAGTTTGCATTTCTTGCCCTGCAGTACAAATCTCAGCCACAAAAGAGTGATCAAATTAAGATCCTACATCTGTACAGACAGACAGACAGACAGACATACAGACATACAGGCAGACTAGGTCTATAGTAATAGGCTGCTCCAGTGTTCTGGAACTTGATGATGTCACAATGCCACTTTACCAGGGATGGAGCACTAGTTATTATAAGGGAACATTATGAGGTAACGTTGCCACGGAAACACACTTCTAACATAATCCCAGACCACATTAAAATTGTTAGACAAGCTCAGGAAGAGCGTGTTAGCTACATCTCTCAACCTATAACTGATTTGATTGATTACAACAGTACACTACCCTAGCGTGTTATGGGTCAGACACTTAGTGACCCTGTCCCTCTGGTCTCCCCTAGGGAGCAACCAAAGGAGACCCATAAACATAAAAATAAACCCAAGGAGAAGAGCATCCCTCCAGCCCTGACCTTTCTTCAGCTGTTTACACTGCTGAGCTGCGTCAGGATGAAGAAGACACCATTTGATCCCTCCCAGAGCGGTGAGGGGAGAAAGGCAACAACGATACACGATATGAACAACAATAATGACTCTGATACTGGTGAGTGTGAGGAGGTGTCTATTGACTAGTGCTGCTACATAGTACAATTATTTAGGCTTCACTTGGAGGAAATGTTTCACTTACAGGCTCTGACTATTCTGCAGGTGATGTGAAAAGGATCAAGGACAAGAGTAAAGGAAAGGTTCGGAAAGAGAAAGTTTGGATTGAAGTTCAGAAATCTCAGGACCACAAACGCAGAACGACACCGGAAACAGAAAAAGACATTAAACAAAGATCTAACTCGGTAAGACATCCAAACCTGCTTATCAATGAGGATTTGCCAATGCATTTGATAATTGATAATGACCACAATAAGGAAAACACAGTATATTGTGTTGAATTTGATACTTTGACACTGCTTGACAAATGTGATAATGTCACAATGCCCCTTCGGATGGGGTAGGCCCTACTAGTTAAAAAGTCTTAACGGAATCCATGGAACATCCCAACTCTGACCTTACCCCCATTGAAGTTGAAATTGAAATGGTTAAGGTAAGGGTTAAGGTTAGAGTTAGGGTAAGGGTAGAGGTAAGGTTAGGGTTTAGGGTAGGGATGTCTCAAGGATCTCGGATAGCACTAACCCTAGTTATTATTGGGTAACATTCTGCCATGGAAACACACTAGAGCTCATTGGCTATTGATATTGTAGTTTGAAATATCAGTAGATTTCTAACTGATGTACTGATTGTGACCCTGAGGTCTCCCCTGTGGAGAAAGCAAAGGAGACCCAGCAGAAAGAGAAGAAGCAGAGCATCTATCCAGCTGTGGCGGCCCTGCAGCTGTTCACTCTCTTCTGCTGTGGAGGGAAAGTCAAGCTGAAGAAAACTCGTCCCTCTCAGCACAGACAGAGTAAAAAGGACCAGGACGAAGATAATGCATCTGATACTGGTGAGTGTTATGGGTTGTCTGTTGATTAGATATAGAATGATATTGCTCCACTTGGAAAGATGTGTCTTCAAAATCAAAATGTCTAATCTAAACAGGCTCAGACTGGTCTGGAGGAGATGTTACAACCAAAAAGGTCAAGGACAAGAGTAATGGAAAGGTAGGGAGGGAGAAAGACTGGACTGAAGTCCAGCTATTGAAATCATCTCAAGACCACGAACCCAGAAGTACAACACCAGAAACAGACAAGGGAACTAATTTGGGACAAAGACCGAACTCTGTGAGACAAGCAAACATGCTGTATCATATTTTATTGTGAGCAAAAGATCTTTCCCATAATGTTTGATCATTGGGTATTGCAATTGTCTTATGCAGGCAAATCAAAGGACACCCCGGCAAGTGAAGACCCATGTGGAGAAAATTTACATAAGTCCTGACTCTCCGACTCAACCACGTGCCCACGTAAGTTACTGAAACCTGACTTACTATACGGACAGACAGAGATTCACACATCCAGGCAGTTTCCCCTCTGACCTCAACCTAACCCCCCTTTTCCTCCGGGTAGAGCTCCCTCTCCCAGTTCTCCCTGGCTAGGAACCTGGCCATCCTCCCGCTGGAGTGGCAGCTACCTGGAGTCCCTCTGACCACCTCGTCTATGGCAACTAGGACAGAGAGAAAGCCATCCACTACCAACACTTCGACACAGGCGCAGACAGAAACACAGACAACAGATATGAACACAGACACACAGACCACTGCCACCTCTCAGAGACAGATCTCCATGGTGACCACCCAGTCATCAGAGACCATGACAGAGGTTCACACATCAGACTCAAGCACCCAGAACTCCACTCCTGACATGGCACTGACCCCTGAGAGCACTAAGGACATGATCGCTAGTGATGAGGATGTGAAGGATGACTCTGCTGAAGATTTGATCTCCACCCTAACAGACACCTCTATGGAGAAATCCGTCAGTGAGACCAGCCTGAAAGCCCTCATTGCTGAGGATGAGGAAGATAACATTGAGATGAAGGATATGGCTGCCTCCGCTAGCCCTGCAACTGATAATGCCAATGAGGATGCAAAGCTACTGGAGCTTGCAGCACTTTATGACTACATGTTGACAGTGGAGACCGAGCTGTAGGCCTAATGAACATTTCAATATAGCAAAAGCTATACTATGATCAATTAATAAAAACAGTTAATATTTCTGCAGCAAATGTTCACTACTGTTGATATGTGAAGCAGCATGCTTAGGTTAGGCATATGTGTTTGAATTCACCAAAACTAATAAATAAACAAAAAATATATCAAACCACTACAGGTAGGGAAGAGTGAATACATCAGCATTGAGTTAATTTGGTCAATAATGATCCATGGGCATATTACATTCTGTAATACATGAAATAACAATCACCCACAGTGAATACAATGTTCTAGACATGTTCTATTTTCTCCCTCTGTCCTTCCCTCCCATGTCCTGATGAGGTTTAGATTGTCTTGTTATCCACCCCTTCAACTGTTTAGCATTTTAATAACGCCTCGCAATCTCAGGGCCTAATTATTTTTGATTCACATGCTTAAAATAGAGCCCACATATCACCACATATCTGAGCGGCCTGAAGGTGCTGTGTTACTGGTGGGTTTCCAACAGATTACAGGGAGATTGGTGAAATAAGTCAACCTACAGTGGGGAAAAAAAGTATTTAGTCAGCCACCAATTGTGCAAGTTCTCCCACTTAAAAAGATGAGAGAGGCCTGTAATTTTCATCATAGGTACACGTCAACTATGACAGACAAAATGAGAAAAAATCACATTGTAGGATTTTTTATGAATTTATTTGCATATTATGGTGGAAAATAAGTATTTGGTCAATAACAAAAGTTTCTCAATACTTTGTTATATACCCTTTGTTGGCAATGACACAGGTCAAACGTTTTCTGTAAGTCTTCACAAGGTTTCACGCACTGTTGCTGGTATTTTGGCCCATTCCTCCATGCAGATCTCCTCTAGAGCAGTGATGTTTTGGGGCTGTCGCTGGGCAACACAGACTTTCAACTCCCTCCAAAGATGTTCTATGGGGTTGAGATCTGGAGACTGGCTAGGCCACTCCAGGACCTTGAAATGCTTCTTACGAAGCCACTCCTTCGTTGCCCGGGCGGTGTGTTTGGGATCATTGTCATGCTGAAAGACCCAGCCACGTTTCATCTTCAATGCCCTTGCTGATGGAAGGAGGTTTTCACTCAAAATCTCACGATACATGGCCCCATTCATTCTTTCCTTTACACGGATCAGTCGTCCTGGTCCCTTTGCAGAAAAACAGCCCCAAAGCATGATGTTTCCACCCCCATGCTTCACAGTAGGTATGGTGTTCTTTGGATGCAACTCAGCATTCTTTGTCCTCCAAACACGACGAGTTGAGTTTTTACCAAAAAGTTCTATTTTGGTTTAATCTGACCATATGACATTCTCCCGAGCCTCTTCTGGATCATCCAAATGCACTCTAGCAAACTTCAGACGGGCCTGGACATGTACTGGCTTAAGCAGGGGGACACATCTGGCACTGCAGGATTTGAGTCCCTGGCGGTGTAGTGTGTTACTGATGGTAGGCTTTGTTACTTTGGTCCCAGCTCTCTGCAGGTCATTCACTAGGTCCCCCCGTGTGGTTCTGGGATTTTTGCTCACCGTTCTTGTGATCATTTTGGGCCCACGGGGTGAGATTTTGCGTGGAGCCCCAGATCAAGGGAGATTATCAGTGGTCTTGTATGTCTTCCATTTCCTAATAATTGCTCCCACAGTTGATTTCTTCAAACCAAGCTGCTTACCTATTACAGATTCAGTCTTCCCAGCCTGGTGCAGGTCTACAATTTTGTTTCTGGTGTCCTTTGACAGCTCTTTAGTCTTGGCCATAGTGGAGTTTGGAGTGTGACTGTTTGAGGTTGTGGACAGGTGTCTTTTATACTGATAACAAGTTCAAACAGGTGCCATTAATACAGGTAACGAGTGGAGGACAGAGGAGCCTCTTAAAGAAGAAGTTACAGGTCTGTGAGAGCCAGAAATCTTGCTTGTTTGTAGGTGACCAAATACTTATTTTCCACCATAATTTGCAAATAAATTCAATAAAAATCCTACAATGTGATTTTCTGGATTTCTTTTCTCATTTTGTCTGTCATAGTTGATGTGTACCTATCATGAAAATTACAGGCTTCTCTCATCTTTTTAAGTGGGAGAACTTGCACAATTGGTGGCTGACTAAATACTTTTTTCCCCCACTGTAAATAGGGACAATAGGAACATTATCATACTACAGCCTCATTCTCTTTGCCTATATTACAGCAGGGAGGATATATTGGTGTCATCAGAGTAATGGAGTACCACACATACTGTATGTACCTCATGTTTTCACACATCATGATGTAGTCCTTGTAAGATAACCCTGGAGCGTGATCTTGTCGTTTTATCATCTTGAAGGGTGACAGAATAGTGAGCTTTATCCATGACTTTGAGAATGTAGTTATTTTATGAATTCTCACAGGTACGATTTCTGTCAAACTGCACTTTTCTGTCTCTGTCATGCCTGCGGTCACCAGATGTACAGCCTCCCCAGAGCTGCATATTCCAGTGGCCTACATGCATGGATAATGAGCTGAGAGAAGTAGTTGCAGCACATCGTTTTAGGCTACAGCCAAGCTCTATCTTTAACCTGAGAAACATCTTAGTCCTACATGAGTGCACTCTCCACAACAAAGACCAGCCTGACATCAACATACTGTTGATAAAGTAGACATTGAATTAAATCAACCCACTCCTCTATGAAGTGGTCAGGGCATCACAGTGATCTAGTTACAAGGACATTGAGAGAAGCCATTTCTCTGCTCTAGAGACTGTAACATATTAATAACTTATTCAAATCAATCAGTCACCTTATAATTCATAATCATTATCAAATTAATTACCCAAAACAAATTTAGAATGACAATTCTTAGTTATTCACTTTGGTTCCTTCATTCAAAGTTAAAACTCTCACCTTGGCACATATTGACACTGGCAGAATGTATATTTATATTATCATAATTCTAGCATTAACTTCCTCATAACGAGAATTACAACAGATCAGTATCTTAATGCATTCCTAGTCCCAATTACTATACATTTAGCAGTGTATAATACCTCCTTAATCAACATACTACCTACTAACACTCCAATCAACATACTACCTACTAACACTCCCTTCCTCTACCGGCACTCAATCTTCTGGCGTCTTCATTATGTTCTTCAGATAGCTTCATAGTTCATCTTGGATTGCCCGTGGCAATATCCCAATTCCAATGTCACACCTGAACCACCTCACCTCTACCCCCATTTTGTTTTGTCCATTTGCCAACCAGTATACCAGCACCATCAGAGATGTTATATTTGAATAAATCTCTATTCATGCCCACTCCAAATGGACTCCTGTCACACTCTTGAGAGAAAAGGCATAAGAGAAAAGAAAAGGCAGTTGATTGCTTCGATTGGATGCTGGTTCTGATTCAGGTCTCCTGGTAGAGGTGATTCTGAACAGGAACATCTTCAATGCCTTTGTTGCTCCTCTTTAGCCGGGTAGAGTTTATTTTTATTTTTTATTGAGGTTCACACTGTTCTGGACCGAATTATCTCTGCTATGCATCAAGACATCATCCGTTGCAACCTCGAGAAAGGACAAATCATAACAATTTAGTTGAGTTCATTTCCAATCCAAAACATCCCTATAAGCATTGACTATTTGACAAGTTATTATGTTTCACCAATCATTCTTATTACCAATTTCTAATACTTGATCCTGCTGCCTGATACATTTTTCCTTGAGGGGTCCCTGTATTCCAAAGGCTATCTGTATAAATGCCACATATTTCACATTCTCCCTTGTATTCTTCCAAATTCTATAACCCAATTGTTTTATTGTACCACTCCTATATATTTGCTCATAGTCTATTTGACATTACTCTGGCGCTTTCCTTTTCCTTGTTCCTATTCTAACCACTAATTGCTTACCATTCTCTCCCCATCCTGGTTGATTATACAATTGTTTATATTTAGGATTTCCTAAATATTACAAACATTCTGCTGGCCAATATGGTCTTTCCGAGTTCCTTATATGACAAAAGTTGTGGTTGAATCATAGCACAGTCCTAGTAACTGTGGAGATGTTGAACTACTGTTAACTATTTAAAACGGAGATGTGGTGCATATTATACCATTTACTTTTAATGCAATATATTGTACTCATCTATACCAATCATTGTTTAACGGCTCCTTCAATTCCCTTTCTTCTGTATTTGGTATGGCTCTAACATGTACAGGGTTTAGTGCACTTTCCCAAGGAATAACTACTCCAATAACACTTCCCCTGTTCTCTTGTGTCTATGATTCACCTGTCTCTTTCTTTCATTATCTTAAGGTCACACTACCCCATGTGACTTCCCCATACTCTTTGTGCTGGTTCCTCCCACACCAATAATAATTTAACCCTTGTATTTTAATAGTGATCCCTTCCTGCATTTTAGTTATGGTTCCTGCCTGTGCAAGAATATACATTTTAATCCTGTCTATATCCCTTCTATGTCTTGTTCTTCTGCTCTTTACTATTATCAGTACCCCATTCCCCTTATTCTCAGGGAACTAGTCAAGTGCAGAGAAATCAATGATGGGGATATCTGGTGCATCTTGAATGTCTAGAATATCTTGAAGATCTAGAAGGTCTTGAAGGTCTTGAAGATCTGCCCCTCCGCCAAGGGAATCAGCAAGAACACATAGCTCATCAGTAATTGCCATCCTGACCCATCTGATTCTCGCCAGCATCCTCAGCTCTCTCATCTCTCAGTCATCGGTTCCCTCACTCTGGTACAATGGTTTAGATGGTACCAGGTCACGCTCCCCTCTATCCGTACCACCGTTGGTGTAACCTGGACGCCGATGTATGGTCACTTTAGCTGTTAATCTTCTTCCGTCACTAGGGTTTCCGGATCAGCCAGAGTCCCTCTCAATCTATCGACATCGGTCTGCGAAGAGTGTCCTTCTACCAGCCTACCCATAGGGAAGCTCGGAGTTACTGCTGCAAAGACACACAAGCACAGACAAACACAAAAAACAACAATGCTACC